CATCAGCGACTGTTAGAGGAAGCCAGCACTGAGCAAAGTGATGCAAGTGATCAACGTCTTCAGTATCACATGAGGTGACCACGAAAGAGATGATGCTGACAGGCCAGGAAGTGGTGTTCTTTGATTCTAGAAGTAACTGCTTTCAAAGCGCAGCATTCAGGACCTGGGAATTAAGAATGTGCACCCTTTACCTGAATGCAGAAAACCATGACTTGCTCAGAAATTTCTAATTTACTCATAAACTGAAGCTCGGAAATCACATAACTCAAACTGCAGAATCAGATTTAAATATCTGCCTTTATTTCTCCAAGGTTCAGAACTTTGCCTCTCAACACACAGTGGCACTGCTCCTGGGCTGTGAAATGAAATGCGCAATGGAAAGTGTGCTCAGGTGCCCTCTAAATCCAATGCCTGATGAGCCTCAGGTCCCTGGTACTGGGGGAACACAGGAGCCACTTCAGCAGCTCTGAGGCCTACCCAGCGCTGGTAGTGCAAGAAGGCCAGAGGAGATCTGCCCTACTGAGCAGCGTTTCCTCAGCCTCTCCGAGTACACAGGATTTCCCTTTTCCTGATGGAATTAGAGTATGACAATCTGTTGGCTCAGTGACCCAAATCCCTTATTTCAAGAGAGGAAATCAAAGCCACGGCGAGCCTGAGGATGCATAGCCAGGATGGCGGGGCTGCACCTAGCACTTCATTCTCCCTTTCCCTGTTATGTGCCTTTTGTCCTAATCCAAGATGTTTCCATAAAATTCACAAAGTAGAAAGGGCTCCCCTCCCCATTGCCAGTAGATGCTCCTCCGTGAGAAACAGCCCCCACTCTGCACACATTCAGACTTCAGGAGCAGCCCGCTGGGTTTGTGCGGGGCTGTAGGTGCCTGCTGCACACTGTGCATCTGTAGCGCAGAAGTAAGCAGCTGCTTCGGCAGCCAGGGCAGCTGTGAGGAGCAGGGAGCTGTCCTTGGTGGCAGTGTGCAGCATGGCTCTCAGTCGGCCTCTGTGCTTCTCTTTCTCATTTGATCGAATTAAAATTAGCCGGACAGGGCTTCCCCCTGCATTCTGTCTATACCACTGCAGGTTCCTTATAGAAGCTGTGTAACTGCAGCTCAGGGTGGCATTGACGCCCTCCTGGACACTCAGGGCCCGAGGAGCCCCGCCTCCTTGTTGGCTGCTCACCCCTAGACAGAGACAGAGCCAGAGATGGAGGCCATCACTGCATTTCCTGATTACATCCCAAATTAACGGGAGATTTTATCTCTTCATCATGCAGGCTCTAAATTTGGTGTTCCTTTTGTCACCCCGAGGAACCCTCACCCCTGACCCACCCCCACTCACTGACTAGTAGAAGCCACAAGGTCATCAATGACGCTTCCAGCAGTTTCTCCATTCTCTTCCTCCTTGAAACCATACAAGACTCAGGTCTGGGCCCTGAAACAGAGCCAGGCTTCTCAGTTAGAAGACTCAGTTCCTATTACTGAGTACGC